TTAATTGATGATTGTGTAGTTTTATCATTGTTTCAATTTTACCTTCATCCACTAGAGGGAGCCAATATTCAGTCTTTATCAGAGCCTCTAAGTTATTTAGAATAGAATAGAAAACATCTTTATTGTCCCACAATGGGGACATTCTGGTGTTTACAGCTGCAAAAATGGCCACACAAATGTGGAGCTTAGAAAAATGTATAAGAATAAGATAATAGTGAAGAGTTAAGAGATAAACAATAAAATCCTGCACTGTAAAGTGTTTTAACAATATCAAACTGTGCACCTGGAGAATAAATAACCAATAAGCAGCTATGGACATTTTTACAGTGATTGATATTTGAAAATAGCAGCAAAATCAGAAATGTGCAGAATGACAGCAGCAGGTTATTTAACTAACTAAGGTAGAGACTGTGCAAAATCAGCATGAATTTAACAATTTATTGAGGTTGTTGGGAACAGTGGTATTATTTGCAAGATAAGTAATGTCAGAGTGGAGGCCTGCTAGAGCAGAACCAGGAATGGATCCAGAGTCCGGTCCAGATTGTTTTAACTGTTATAATAAGGATTATATAAGGATTCAGAATGAACTTCCTGTGGTTCTGTTAGTGAATCTAAACTCCTCCAGTTCTCCTCCTAATGAGCCCATTAAGCCGTGCTGCATGGAGGAGCAGCAGAACTTCTCTGCTGGGATCAGAGATTATATGGTTGTAAAAAGTGGAAGGCATTACGCCAAACATTTGTAATATGATAGGAAAAGACATACAGCAGTTAGCTCGGTAGATATGGAAGACAGTTGATGCACTTTATTGATCCAAGTTTTAACATCCTGAGAGCAGAACCAGAACCAGTGGATCAAAGGTGCTGCTAACGCAGGGTTCCTGCAGGTCCTTGAAAAGTCTTAAAAGGCATTGAATCCTTCAAAATAAAACTAAGGCCTTAAATGGTATTAAAATGTCTTAAAGGTATACTATGCAACAGCTGTTGATTTTCCAGCGAGGCTCCCCCCAGAGGCCGAAAGTAAAAGTGCACTGTCGTAAATATGGAGCCTTGCAGCCTTCTTTTTCTTTTAGCTCTCGCCATTCGGAGAAAGCTTGCCCGATGTTCACCCGTGTACGACTCCTCTCTCTGTCCGGAGCCCTTTTCCTCTGTATTGCCTTCTCCGACATGGGCTTTCACTGTTTTCACGCTGGTTCCGCCATGATAACTGCACAAATATCGCCACTGCGCTAGCAACGAGCATGCCTTTCACTGGGGGCGTGTATTAGTTCTCGCCGTAAAGCAAGACCGACTCTCGCGATGCGATGAGCCTGTGGGTGCGGTACGGTATTTCCCCTACAGACCACCAAGAAAACCTTTGTTCGACCTGAAATGACTCATTTAATCATCCAAAACGTTATGGAACACATTAACTGAAAAATGTTGCATAGTGTGCCTTTAAATCAGTCTTTCCTAGGTCTTAATTTTTAATACATCATAAATAGGATTATTTTTATTACAATTTATTTTTTTAACCTAAATAAAATGTTAAAATTTACAATTTTTTATTATTTTTTTTATAAAAAAAAATAACAGCTCTCCATTATTGGTTCCGTCCCGATAGCGGAACCAATAAAGCGTTGTTGCCGCCGGGACATTTGGGAGATGCGCCATTAACTTCTTGTCTGTAAATCTGAGCAAGTGTAAATGTAACCAAAATTGTCTCCAGCCAAGAGTTTTCTCCATGGCTAAAACCAGGGAACATACATGAGGCTCAGTGGATTTATGCAAGAAGTCATTCAAGCTCAGAACGATGGGAATTAAGGCAGTGGAGTCGCACATGCGAAGCACGAAACACAAAGCGTCAAAATCCAGTTACCGCGAAACAGTTTAGTTCCA